AGGGAGCCCCGGCCCTGTGTGTGGGTGGTATGTGGGGATCGGGACTGCGGGCTCTGGTGAAAAACCTCCATTGTCTTTGGGCTTTTTGTTTTGTTTTTAACTGGATTTTAAAAGGGTGGTTTTGAGCATATTCAGGCTGGAAATAAGGGTTTTTCTGTTTGTATTGTTCACCTGACAAAGGACCCTTCTGTCTTAGTAAGTTGCGAAGCCTTTTGCAAACTTGAACTAAATTTCTGGGATCAGGAGGTGTCTCAGCATAAGGCAGCAGAGCGAGTACATGGCAGGGTCTGGGGCAGAGGCGGGGGGGCGCGGCACGGGTGCGAGCAGAGTCGCCTCTCGGGCTTGGCCTGCTGACCCATGTGTGCACGGAGGTGGTCACCAGATACTCGGTGTGTGCATTTGTAAATGTAGAGCAGGGAGGGCATCGCTTGCCTGTTCTGTGAATGGCTTGTGAAGGAGGGTTCCGAGCTGCCTGTGCCATTGAGTTTTGGAGAATATAAGAATTTGGAGGGAGGATAAGGGAAAGTGTTGGTTAAGGGTTACAGGCATGAGATCTAGAGTCGAGAGTTTCTCCTGTGGTTGTATGGTACGCAGATGCAAACCCAAGCCTCTTTACTTTTGCTAAGCTGGTCACAAAATAATCTGTTGCTCCTAGGAAAGGATCCTAGAAGTCTTGCCAACCTTGTGTTGTTAGAAGCAGCACGTGTAGGAACAGTGTGGTTTGTTTTTTTCAATTTGTCTTTTGATACAGACCTTAAAATGTGAGTCTAGTAATGTACTTGTTTATGGTTATGTTGTCTGTAGAACTGGATGCACCTTCTAAGATAGAGGTGCTGCCTGATGAGCTTGGAGAGGTGAGGGGAGAGAAGCAAATGTTTCCATTAATTAATGTCTGCAATGAACTTCATAATTCATTAATGTACATTCCTCAGTTATTCTTTCTTTCCCCACTACTGGTTAGTTTGAGAGTTTGACTGTACTGGTTGGAAGTGGGAGATGTTACTCTCCCTGACCCTACCATTGAAGAGCAGTTAAACAACCAAGTGTTTCCTTCAGTAACCGTGGGAAATAGCATCTTCAGGAATCGTTCTTAATATAAAGTTGGTATTAATACAGACTTCAATTTGTAATTTGGAAATTCAGTGAAAAACATTTGACTTTGTAAATAGTTGCTAAAAATGGTGAGTAGTTTGTTTTTTGCTTTTCAAGGCCTCACAGAACTGAGTTGTATGAGGATGCTCCATCAGCATGCTGGCCTATCGTATATTCTCCAGACTACAACATCACATTCATGGGACTTGAGAAACTGCATCCATTCGATGCAGGGAAATGGGGAAAAGTAATCAATTTCTTGAAAGGTAAGATAACAGAAGGTACCTCTTAGACTAACATTTGCACAAAAGCTGGTAGAAATTATGTAATTAGTGCAGACTTACGTTAATAATCGCCAATATAATAGTGACTGTACATCATCATTGCTCATTGTGTAGATTTGAGCTATGCTCTTTAATCATATTTGGAGTACTTTAGTATTTTTACATATTTGCAGACTTAAATCTTAGCAAGTTAAATTGATTGTAGGATTTCTGAGGTGAGTTAGATGTCATGTGTTACACATTGTTGAAGATCTTGCCTATGAAATATTTAAAAGATGAAATTGTAATGTTAGAGCAAACATCCTACACTAGGGCTTTTCAATACAGAGGTTTGTTTCACAGTCCTTTGAAAATGTATGTTCTAGCCTGCTCCACTAAGTCAACCCACAGTTTTGGTTTCTGCTCAGTCGTGGCGTCTGCGCAGAGTGAAACTTGTGAAATGGGATTAAAAATTCAAGCTCATTAAATGATTTGCTCTCTCCAGAGGCGTGAATAATACTAGTCAGAGTAACTAGTTTGGTTCATTCCAGTCCGGCCCAGAGCATTACAAGACTGTGAGTAAAAAGGAGTAAGGAGGAACATGAGCATAGCAACATCTTAGACTGTCTTAAAATATTTCTGGTCTTTGCAATTTGAATGAAAGCATGAAGTGAGCAGAATTTCATTGCTTGGCCTTTACAGCCAATGCTCATGTGGGATATTTGAGAACTGTTTCCGCCTCTGAAGTGAGCACCAGAATCCTGACTTTCAGCCTAGCCTGAGTTAGGTGCAGAACGCCGGAGCCTTGTGGATGTAGCTCAGCGTGCCAAGTTTTGATACTCAACAGATTTTTAATGATTCAAACACTTTCAGTTCTAGATTAATGTATGAGAACAAGATTTCCTTTAAGTTCCCTCTTGAGGATAGGTGCCATTTGCAGTTCCAGTTTCTTCTTTCTTTTGAGGACCAAGCCTGGATCTAAAACAGAACACAGACTTCAGTTTTGTAGCAATGAATGGAAAATCCTTCCTATCTTAGCTGCAAGCTTACAAACGGTTTCGCTTGCAAGACCTGAATTGCAGTTTGGGAGTACTGTGTCTAGCTTCCTATAGCCTTGTGTTTCCATTGCTTTACACCTGGTGTAACCAGAACTGGGGCATTCCTTGTGGCTTGTGAAACTACGGGTGTTAATGCCCGGCTTGCTGCGGGGTGTAACTTAGTTATTCAACTTAGACTGCAGGCAGTCTACTGGCAAATGGTGCTTTTTAGGCTGAAAGATAAGTGCAGCTTGTATAAATCCATTCTTTATCAACCTCATGATATAATTCTGATAATGATTGGGAAGAGCTTTGAGACGCCTCTGGTGACAGGCAGAACTGTTTGGTGCTCATTTTTTGTTTAAACAAATTAAAAGATATAGGCAGAAACACATTAAGGAAATACATATGTAAGAACCAAGGTTAGGATCAGGGCCTGTAAAATCTTGCCATCTCTTCATTGAAAGTTTAAGCTTTCTCATCAAGTTAAAAAAAAAAAAAAAGTTTTTTTCTCTTGCCAAGACAAAGGTTGTCCGAGAGCCAGGCCTCTTCCATTTATGTGGTCCTAATGACTCCTTCAACTGATGATCTTTTGCAATTAAGTATTGCCCTTCCGACTTTAGGCTGCCTTGTATTCATTTAACTGAGGTTAAATGAATTCTAACACTCCATTTAGTAGCTGAGTTTTGGATCTTCCCTCTAACAACCTTAAATAATTAAGTCTTGGGTTCCATGACCGTTTTCTTAATTAATCAAAACCTTTGCCTTTCTTCTCCTTCTCTGAGTAAAGTCTTTTCCTGTAGCTTTTTTCTGTGTTAAGTGTCCACTCTTTACTCTCAGTCTTTCAGAGAAAATTAGTTTTCCCAATCGTTTTACTCTCCTTGCTTTATAAAGCAGAAAGAAGCCACAGGATACCACAGGGTGCTCCTGGTTTTCTCTGGCTCTGTAGCAACTCCTGGCAACAGCTGACCTACACTGTTCCCTATCATCTTCTAGAAAATCACCAGTGAAAATCTTTCTACACTTACCTTCTCCTTCCTTGAGAATGAAACTGTTAGCAGTTTGGCTTTCTGTCTGGCACCAATGAATGAATGAAATGTTTCTCAAGCCTCAGTCAGGAGAAATGTAAGCTTGCCAAAACAAATATTGTTACAGGTGCTGTTCTTGTATAATGCTTCAGAACAAAATCTCTCACAGTTGTGAGTTGTTTTCTTCCTCCTCCAAATATAAAATTGGAGAATAGGTACAGTCTTAGGAGGCTGCAGCTGTGCAACAATTAAATATCAAAATTTGTCTGGGAAGATCAGCATGGTGCCTTATATTTGTCGTTTGTAGTGATTGTATGCAAAGCAACATTGCTTTTCTGACTCCTTGGCTTTTTTAATTGACCCTAACTTGAACTTTCTGGCAAGTATATCCAGATGTATGCATTCGAACGTATTATCTTTGATCACATTCTTAAATCTTGGAGTGATATTTTGTAACTTGCTCTTATAAAACTAGGTTTTAAAATAAATTATCTTTTGGTCTCTAAGGGGAAGAATTAATAGCTGGTCATTGGTATTTCTTGAAATTAAATGGAGGCAGGGGTGTGACAGAAATATCCTAATTGAGTGTAAGCATTCGCTTCCATGAATGTCCAAGCAATTATTTTATTTAGCATTTTGATTTTTGTTTTTTAAATTCTCCTCTGATTTAAGGAATTAAATACTAGTATGAAATGTGGAATTTCTTAAAGCATGTTAAGAGAGTGGTGAATATTTATGGTATGAGCACCAAGACTTCCCTGGTGTATCAAGCTCTAGACTGTAAGGATTCTTTTGTGTCTGTCCATCCTCTGTCACTATCTGTCTTTTCTTTTAGTTTAAAGAAGAAGTTACCATGATTACACACTGAAAACTTTCTGTAAACAGTATTTATCATATACATGCTAACTTAATAGCTTATGGGTATAGAGCGTATGTATTTGGAAAATTTGTAAACACTGAGTAAACAAAAGTTGTTTCAGGTGAAGTTATTACATCAAGGTCAAATTCTTTGGCAGGGTGAAATATGGAAAGTTAAGCGATGGTATGCAATGCCAATTGTTATTTCTCTCCTGTTTCAGAAGAAAAACTAATTGCAGATGACTTGATTGTACAGGCACGGGAAGCTACTGATGAAGATCTCTTGGTTGTTCACACAAGGCGCTACCTTAATAAATTAAAGGTGCTGTACTTATTAATGTGTTTTTCAAGCAAACTGTCTAGAATTAGTGTCGAGGGCAACAGATATCCTACTAGATTTGTTATAGAATCAACTTCCACAGGTTATAGAACGGTATATTTTTAATTCAACATTGTCATTGAGAATACTGGAAGAAAAACATAGAAATAGTAGGCAATTCACACTATAGAGGGGTGGAGTGGAAAGAGGGTCTACCATGTTATATAGGTGACCTGAAATAGCATTTCACAAAGTTAAATGAACATAAGGAAGATTTTAATGTTTGAGATGCAAATGATACTCTCTTTAGTACGAGGGTTTTAGTCTTCAGAAGTGTAAGTTTTGATTTACTCTAGTAAAATGTGGTTCTGAAATTGAAAATACATTGGATGTTTCTTAATGCAAGGTTGCTTTATGACTGCAGGTGACATGGCTTTTATTTTGCAACTCTTTACTTGGAGGGCAGAGAATGGATTTGTATTAGAAATAATCTTCCATTTCACAATTCAAAAGAAGTTATTTTGAGTCATCTTTGCCCTTCCACAGTGAAAGACTCCTTGTATTGCTATTTCTGGAATGTTTTAGTTTTCTGTGTAAGGGACCTATTATTTGTGTGAACTTTTTTCTCTCCTACTCCTTTTCTGAGTTCTCTTATACTTCCTCATTCTTTGCTATAAAGCTACATGCAATTTCATACATCATTAGATTTGATCTTATTGCAGCTATTCTTGATATTGAGCTTCTAATTCCATAGAACCACCCACCTCTTTTACTGAATCACTTTTTTGAAACAGGGTGTAATGTGCATAGCTCAGTTTGGAATACCGTAATAATATTTTTAATGCCTACAGGATGGCTTCACAGGGAGTTGTCTGTATAATTTGTGTCTTAGTGTTCAAAACCCGTACTGTCGTGTGCATTCAGATGTGATTAACTGCCTATCTCTTGCTCCCCTTTTTTTGAGAGAATATTTCCTGCAATTGTAGAAACTGGAAGATGTTGTATTGGTCATGCCAGCAAATTCCTGCCCAGCAGCAAAGATAAAAGTGCTTAGTTGCAAATGAAAAATAATATGGCTAGACATGAAAAGGCCCTGGGTATCCTCTGTATTGCCTTATCCAAAGTCTGCTGTGCTACTTTTTTTTTTTTTTAAATCCAGACAAATACAGATCTACCAATAAATGGCATAGTTTTATGTTAGATCAGCTCTGAAGACTACAAAGATGCTTGTGTTTCTGGGAATGCCCAGGTCTCTTAAAATAACGGAGCACTTGAGTATTCTTCATTTAAAATTTGAGCATGAATTTGGTAGGAAATTCCATACACTTGCAAGAAGAGGTGGTGGTTGGTATCTTAGCAGCAACTGAAGAAGCTGGCTGGAGGTTGGTTGAAGAGAAACAAAATGGTATGCACAAAGTAGATCAAAGAGTACTGAAAATCAGTTCTGTGTTGGAAGGAAGGGTCTCCCTGTTTCCCTGCTTTAGGTAACGTGACTAGTCCTTACAACAAAATTTGGCCTTTTGAATTGAGGTGATTCTGCCTCAGTTACTCCTTTGAAGAACTTAGGTCTCTAAGGTAACGACTGGACTTCGGATAATTGGCTTGCAGTACTTTTCCACTTACTGCCTTTTTCTAGTGTTATGTAAAATAATGAATTTCCTGCATATCAGCATTCTGAAATTTCAGAAGGACTTAGGCAATGAGGTTAAAGCTAGTTTCAGACCATATAAGTCTTTCACTTGAACCGTTTTTATGTATGAAAGGTTCAATGATAACATATGTGAGTGAATACTGGAATGCAAATGATGGGGGTAACGCTTGTGTGTCAGTGGAATGCAAGATGTGCTTTTCTGAAAGTGATCTGAAACGCGTGATCGATTAATTGAACTTAACAAATTTTAATCTGTTTTATATATTTGCAAATTATGTAGGTTTAAAAATAAGAAGTAAATAATTTTATTAGAAATGTCAATTTTCATGCCTATTGAAAAGTGGATTGATTTGATTATAGGGAGTGTTTTCTGGTGCTCAAGTGCTTGTGTGCTTTGACTCTTGCCCGGTCATGTGAGTGCATCTGCCGAGACCAGAGGTGCCCGTCTCTGTCGCCTGGTGGTATTGGCAGTGTGCCTGGGGAGGGAGGTTGGACTCCCGGGAATGAAGGCAGTAGAAGCAGGCTTGTAAAATAATCGTTCAGCCCATGATTCTTCTGGCTGTTTGAGGTGTTCAGATAAAACAGCACAGAGTGTATCTTGGGCTGCGTGCATTGTGTTAGTGACCGTAGGTCACTCGGCAGCTGAAAGCATGTGGATAAAATGTGCACCTTCAGAAGTGCTTAAAATTCCCCTCAGTTCATCAGTTCATGCACTTCTTGTGCTGTGATCTGTTGTCTCTCTTTGCTTCCTACATTGTGCTTTTGCCTCGCTCAATTTTTTCAAACTTCATTGGTGAAAAATTTACAAAGGCTAGTGGTGGTTTGCTGTAAAATGTTAATTTAAAAAGTCGTAGATCAGATAATGGAATTTGATCCTCTTCACCTAAATTTTAATGTAAATGTTAATGTGTGGGGTAAAGGTCTGTGGGTATATAAAAAATGTTATTTTGAAGGTAATGATATTTGAATATGCTTGGAGAGAGCACTGAACAAGAATACTCAGTCTTGGGGAACAAGGTCTGACAGGTTTCAGTATTGACACCCCTGTGCGAATGCTGTAGGGCATTCTTTGCAGCTAAAGTAACTATTAGACCTCTTAAAGAAAAGTGTAGGGTAGCATTTGGTTAACAGTGATTTGTTTCTTTCCTTTTAGTATTTCCAACTCATTGGTTGGGAGACTGATGCACCAAGATTGTTTTTTGGCTGGTTGGTTTTCTTGGGAATAGCACCTGGTTATCATCAGTTTCTTACTCCTGATGATAATAGTGTGTATGTACCTCGCCCTAGAAACTTTTGTGAAAATTACAAGCTCCCTACTCTCCTTCATGATTTTATCTTATGTTAATTCAAGCTAAAAACATACTTTCTTTATCTATTGAAGATGGACTCAAATAGCTTTGTCTTAGGCAAGCTTCTAAATATAAAATCATGTTAGTTGCTTGGTGTTGGATTTTTAAGTCTGTGAATTTTCCCTTGAAGCTGGGACTAGCTCCAGGAACTTATCAAAGATTTAAACACAGTTTAAATTTAGATATTAAAGAACAAAATTGCATTTTTTTTTTTTAATTTGATGTGTTGTTGGCTATTTTAAAATGCTGGAATGCAATGAATGCATAACATAAAAGGCAGTATATCAGAGGTTGGTTTTGATCATTAATGTGCTGTTTGTATTAATCCAGGATGTATCAGCATAAAAGCAACTACTTTAGCTTTATCTTCCTAAGATTAGTTTTTCAGTTTAACTTTTAGTCCTTGAACACTAATAATTTGAAATAATTTGTAAAGTTATTTAACTTTACTAAGAAGAGTTTTTATAGTTAAGGAATTAAAGTTAATAGTAACAATACTTTATAAGTAAAGTCCTGCAAGAATATCCTCATTAAATGTGTATGCTGTTGCAGAGTTTGGGCTTAAGCAAGGAAAATTAAGAACTCTCAAAGTTGGGATTTTTTTTTTGTTTCATTTCGGTTTTGGGGTTTTTTTGGATGTAACATCTTGGTGTGGTGCTACACTTAGCCACATTTAATGATACCGCCTAGTAGTTAATTTGGTGGGAGGCATGTATTAAAGGAAAATATACCTGGTTAAGGGTTAACCTGACTTCTTTACTCCTTTTAAGAAAACAGGGAGTGAATTTTTTTAAAAACTGAAACTTAAATTCATACATTTAATTATTTATCCAAAACACAGGAAGGTAAATAATTTTAAAAATCTTATGATATTAGGAATAAAAACAAAGAAAGAGTTAAATGGAGTTGATAACTAAAAAGAAAAAGTGAAGGCATGTTATTGAACAGTGTTTATATATGATTATTACTCTTCCCTGAATCCAGACCAAGTTTTAGTTTCTGTTAAGTTACATAATTACACATCTACAAAACTTTACTAGAGAATCACTAATTTGATGATGGCTGAGTGAAAGCAAGTATCTACCAAAAGAAATAGTAACTGATATTATTCTGATACATGCAATTTGAATGCAAAAAATAGCGATTAAAAAAAAAAACAAACACAACAACAAAAAAAAAACCCACAACACAAAAATTTGAAGGGTTTGTTCTCTATCAAAGGAAAGTAATATGTGTGAGGACTTGTGTTATGGAAGCCAACTGACAGCCTGGAAAACATAATTAATGTAGTTCTTCATCTATTCAAAATAATTTTTTATTTTTACAACATGAAGAAGCACACAATTATATAAAACCAATTCCTTTTGATTTTTTTTTTTTGAGTATATACATAGCTGTTCTGAGAATTTGTTGCAGGAAATGTTGGAAAACAAAATTAGCACATTGAAGAAAAGTGCAAAACTGTCCACAGTTTGAGGCAATATATTTCTCAATTATTATAGTGGTGTCTTTTGAGAAGCATATTAATTAGTCTATTCTTGAACCCCAAGACTTTTCTCACCGTCGAATGACTTTTTCCCTGTATGCTAGGAATTACATAAACACAGTAAAAGACTAAGTCTGAAGCAGTGAATGTCTTTGGGCTTGGCACTGTTCTGTAAATGTCCTCAGCTGTGAATAGAAAGCTTTGCTTACTCTTTACTCGTACCATGTCTGGATTTCTTGCATGCACTTAAAAACCTGCAGCAGCGTACATGTTGATTTGAGTCTTTATTGCCCCCACTTCGTCCTGTTGAGATTAATTTTTTTTTAAACTGTGTTAAAACTTCCTGAAATTTTGTGATCATCGTTCACATTTGAGATCAAAATTTATTTTATCCAAATATGACCTTTTTAATTCCATTTTAGAACAACAGGATTGAATCTAGTTTTTTACATTATGCTTGTTTAAAATCTAAAATATCTTGCAAAAGGACTTTCTCAAGATTGACTGTATTATAAAATAATTAAAGCACTTTATTAAAGATGGAGAGCTGATAGTATGGTAACAGAATAATGTTTTACAAATATAAAAGTAGTAAGAGCTTAAAATGAACTGTTAACAAAATATAGTTAGTACTTAAGAACTCTATGAATAATACCACCCCTCCACCTCACCCAATAGTACTTTGTAGTTTAAACATTGGTAACTGGGAAGCCAAATCAGCTTAAGTTTTTTTTAATATCAAAGGACCCTGAAATTGGCATGTGATTGTCTTTGGTTAAAATTGACTGCTTGTACATCCTATTATTTGTAAACAGACAGCTAACAGTAATTGGGCAATAAATGTACTGAATCTAGTTAAGTTTCCTAATGTTCAAGAAAATAGGATCTATTCAGAATCTTTGTACAGGGTGTCAAATCCGTAATTCTCGGTGCCTGAATGTTTCAGTATTGGATGAAGAGGTATATTCTTGCTTGTGACTTATGCTTTGAAATATATTTAGAAGTGTTATCGCTGGTAGCAATGTTATAGAAGTTCTTTGAAGTAATCTATATGTGTTTGCAAAAAAAGCATTTACGTATTGCGCATATTTTGTGTTGTAACCTTCAAATCATATTCTTATGATACGACTTTTTAACAAAATGTTTCCTTGAAACATTTTCCAGAAGTGTTTGATATGCTAAATAAATTTTAATCAATTCTCCATGTTAAAATTTGCATTGTGTGTTCACGTAAGTATTTGAACTTCTTAGTTGAGTTGTCTGTTTGTTTGTTTTTCCTTTCTCCTTGGTATATCCTTTTGACTTGACACAGGAAAAGATGTTTTAGGTTTGAACAAGGTATCAAGTGTAGCTTGCTATTAATACTGCTGAAGGACTGTTTACAATTCTTCCTCCCAATTCCAGGGATATTAGATTTTCTGAAATACTAGCTTGCTGAAAAATTGCTCATTTATTACCATTTGATACTAAAATCTGAAAAACCTAGTGATGGTGATTGAAAGTGATGATTCTCATAGTTAACAACTTGAAGACGAACCTATTTGGAGGTTATAAATAAGGACTGTTGTGGTCACCTCCATCTATAAGTATTAAAAATCTTGCTAAGGACCTGTGAGCTCCTTTTCTGTAAATAGCAACTGATAAGAGATCTAAATGTCATCATTAAGACAGGCTACATTAATTGGAACATTTTTTTTCCCCTTGTAGTGGTCATTTGTTGTGGCTACAATCACAGAAATTCCACCAGTTGCCTTTCTTCCCAATTTCGTTGTTCAGAGAAAAGTTTTGAAACCTCTACGAACCCAGACAGGAGGAACAATAATGGTAAGGTGCTCTTGATTCACTTTTACCGTGTTTAAACTTGTTGATCAAAACACTATAAACCTGTGATTTGTGATATTTTGTATAACTCAAAGGCTTGAGCCCTGGAGGCCTGTAGAGGGGAGTGAGTTAGTGTACAGTCCTACACACGAGCAAAGTTGCCACTTTTTAGCAGCTACCAAGGTGGAGGACATACCTGATTTATGGTCCGTAATTTTCAGAAGTGGAAGAGACAGTAAGGGGCAGCCTGGGCAAGCAATGATAGATATGGCAGGATTTACGGCAAATACAGAAACTGAATTAGTTTTGAACAGCGTTCAAATAAAGGCAAATTCTAGGAATGGGAGGTTTCAAAATTGATAATATAGAAGCTATTTTTAAAGCACATATTTACCAAATGTCCTTGGTACCCTATGGAAAGAGATGCATGGTTTGGTTGCTCTTGACACTGGGTAAGAGTTTAAATTTAAAAATCATATCACCTTGCTCATTTTAATGATTAAAGCTAGTTTATCTTTTTTCTATTGTAAATACTACATAAGCAGCTCAGCTGAACTCCAGTGAGACGTAGCCTGTTTCACCTCTGACAGAATTGTTTTCTAATTAGTTAAGAGTGCTCTGGTCAGAAGAGCCGTGTAAGTGTCACCAGACATTTAATTTTGCCTGAGAATTGCCATTAGAGATGTTGGGGAAGTAGGAGGAAAGAAAACAGTTAATAGCTGGAGCCGAGAATGAGTTATTTAAGCCATGTATTGAGGAAAAGATGCCTTCATAATTGTAAACCGGTAACTAGTGGAACCTTTTCTGCCCTTTTTATCATTCCTTCTCATATTAGAGCTAGAGTTCAGAAACTAAACAGCGTGGTGCTGGGAGAAGATGGTAACAGTCCCAATCTCTCTTCACAGGCAGTGAGCTGTAACAGTCACATAAATGGAAGACAAATAATCCTATCTGAAATCATTAATATTGTGGTACAAATAGATCTTTGCCGCATTTTAGCTACTCTTTCTGAAGGTAGCTGTCACAGTGGGTGCATGTGAAAAGAATAGAAGCCCATACTGCTTTTTCTATATCTATTTGAAGCCAGTTACTGAAGAACGCTGTCGTGGGTTGGCAAACCTTTCAGAGTACATTTATGCCAGATATGAGATTACGATTTATTGCAACTGCTGGATATTAAAGGTGAGCGAGACTGGGAAGCCATAAATGAATGATAAAGGAATGGCATTATTTTCAGAAATAGGCTAATAGGTAGCTTCCCATTACTGTCAACAGAAATGTAGGTACTTAGTAATCTGCACTGGAATCAAGGTTTCTTATTTTTAATGCTTACCTTCGTGAATGTATCAAGAATTCATTGAAGACATAAATAATATAAAGAGCTTTTCTATGACTAGCGCATAAAAGGCAGTGCAGTATGGTTTTCAGAAACAATGAAAAAGGTTGAATTGTTTGTGAGTCTGACCTAGAGAGTGATGTGAGTGAGCCCAAAAGTTTGGTGAAGCAGTTCTCCAAGTTTTCTTTAATTTTGTGGGGCTGATCTGAGATTAACTGTTGCTACTATCATTTATGTGTATAAGTGGATCTGGGCACTATTAAGTTTCAGCCCTCTTGGGTTTTACTATGTGAAATGAAAGTAGAGGGCCAGTAGTTACCAGATTTTAAGGCAAGATGAAATATCCTGTGGTATTTACTTTTTTAATGATAGAACTACTCAATGCCTGATGCTTTATTGGAAAAAATGCAATTTCTTTCAGTATTTTAGTACTGTTGTTAAATCTGTGTCCCATCCAGCGGCTGGATTTGCAAGTGTGTATGTAAAAGTAACTCTCTGCCAGTTGTTGTCTTTTGTTACCAAAAGGTAGTGGAGAAAGGAATAGAATGGACTGGGCAACTTGTGACTGAACTTAAATACCTACTGTTAAGATTCAGAAACACCTTATAACAGTGCAATTTAATGTTTTAAGCATGTCATCTTAACTCCCTTTGTAATATCCAAAACACTGGTCATAGATATTTAAAATCTGGAGCTCTTCAAAAAGTTTGAGTATATCATCATGTTTGAGCTGTGTTGCAAAATGGTGCATTTTATTATTTATAATGGGGAACGTAGTGTTTACGTAATGTAGCTCTTCATGATACTGTGGAGTACTCAGAGTAGTTGAAAAATGTATTGACATACATATGCATGTGTTCAGAAAAATCTTGTTTATGATTGGAGGCACAGGTGAGAGTTGTAAACACAGCAGAGAAGTAGCAAAGGAAGATTTCCAGTAAGTTTTTGAATGTGAGGATAGTAGAGGGAAAAATCAAAAAGTTACCCCCTTGATGCTGAAATTGTCTGTGTGAAGTGAGTTAACTGCTGCTTATTGTTCTGAGCTGTTAAATAAAAATGGCCAGTGGTTTCTTCCTAAATCATTAGAACAATAGTGAGTCCTGTGACATTTGCCACGTTTAAGTATCCTTGCAGGTTGCTGAGTCTGGTTTTAATTCAGGCTTGTGAATGGGAAATGGCTTTCTTTTTGTAAAAGAAAAGTTGTATGTATCTTGCCTACCTTGGACTCTGTTTTTCCGACTATTGTTGTTCTCACCTCTTAAATCCCATTTCCTAATTCTACTTTAATTCCCTTGTGTTGCTCTGTCTTCTTGGATGTACATGTTACTTAAAGTTAAAGAATAGTGAGGTAAGGAAATATGTGAAAGTGTTGGTACAGTGTAGCGGTGTCTGATGCTTTTGTGGAAGCCTAAAAGTCTGCATAAGCATGAGAAAACCAGATAAACTACTGAAAATGTTAAACCAACCTTTAAGGACAATTTAAGTATGTGAGTTTGGAAAGAACATGCTAGGTTCTGGCTAAATCTTTAGACTTACTGGATTATGGTAATAGGTTAGATAACAAAAAGTGCTACCTCCTTTAGTAGGTGTTAGCTGGCAAAAGTGGAGATGATGGAGGCGGAACACAGTGCATCTCCCTAATGCAAACCTGCATGAACACCCGGAACATTTTCTCCTAGCAATTTACCAACAGGAGCTGGAGATATCAACAAAACCAGTTTGGTGCTATCTGTGTAGTCATCTTGCTTTCAGTGGACTGCTGGGAAGGTTGCGGGTAGTTTGACTTTTTATAGACTGGGTAGTAGTAGAGAGAAAGAATTCTGGTTTCATGTGGTCCATGTAGTTCAAGTTGCTTAAAAATTTTTAGTTGTTACTCACAGACAAAGAAGTAGCTCCATTCTGTCTCCGTTTGGTCCTTCAGCATCACTTCAGACTTCTGGTCAGTTCTCTCGTGTGCCATATTTGTGACTGCAGTCAGTAGTGGTTATTGAGATGAGGGGTTTTGGTCTGCAAAGTCCTGTCTGAATAGGAACATGCAGAGTCTTCTCTTATAGCCACACTGTCTTTCTGTACAATAGTTATGAGCAATGAAGGAAATGGTAGAAGACAGAAATAATTGGGAAGAGTCTAGAGTTTCCTAATATTCTACCTTTGGTATTTCTTGAGGGTCTTGACAGTATGCATGTGTGAAATCTATCTCAACTTGCTTCTAACTAGTCAATGTTTTTATATAAGTTTTGTGATGTTTTTCATTGTGCTTGTGTTATCTTTAATTCATAAATGTGTGTTTGCTAGTTATAAATGTGGTCATGTAGAAGAGGTAGCCACTAGTTGTCTATTATGTCTTTGTATTATGCCTCCTGAAATACGGATGACATCACTGGTTGCTCTTGGATTGATCTTGATGCCATATGCTGTTACTTTTACCTTTTTTATTTTTCATTATGGGGAAATAGGTATGTACTTTAAAAGCAGTTTTGATTCATCAGACAATAAAATTTGTACAGTACAATTCAGAAGTACAATCTTCTGCTATTCCTGACGGTCCTGTTCGTTATGAAAATTCCTGTTGAGTTTCTGTACTTTTTAATGATTTTTTTTTAGCAATATGGGAAGATTGTTTTTTGGTGAGGAATCCCTAGGAAGTATGCTAAATCACAGATAATGTGCTTTCCCTGTGACTTAATGGGTTTTATAGTTCAGAAACTACAATCTTTTCTCAAGATCTAATTTGTTTAAGTTAGCACATTCATAACAGGATGATGTTTACCTCCCCAGTAGCTTTCTTAATACTAAATTAGAACTGTTCAAATATAAATATTGGTGATGAAGAATTCTCAACTATCCAAACTTCCTTTCATATATGATGTGTAATATGTCCTTTCCGTGATTATGGAAAAGAATAATCTCTTTTTACATTTTTTTAATCTCTTTTTTTTTTTTTTATTATATCTAGTAATATCTTCTTTTTTTAACATGATGCTTAAGGAATACTGCAGTTAAACACTTGCTTGACTCTTCCTGGCCAAAATAAGTCACGTTTTTAAAATAAAATTTCATCATTTAAGCCTTCTGTATCTCTTCTCTGTCAATACTTTCACTTCCCTGAATGTCACTTGAGTTAAAAGGTGAGATACAGGCACAGTTTTTCTGTATTGGAGGGAAAAAGATTGGTAATATTCTATACTATGCATGTTATATCACATAAAAAATAAAGGAAGTCACAGGACACTTCATACTGTAACATTTTTCTGTCCCCATCCCCAGCTGAAACGATGTTAATCTGTGTTTTCAGGATTTTGAGCTTAGGTTCCTCCTATTTTTACATGAACAGGAAGGATATTAGGAGATTCTTGCTCATTTTTTACTCTTACCAACACTTATACTTTCCCTTTTTCATTTGTCTGGTAGCAGTCGGTGTTCATCTCTGCAAAGGGCAGTTAGTTTTAGATCTGTTCAACTGCCAGAGAATGAAATACAGATGAGATATCAAATATTTTTTTCAAGTAATTATGCTGAGGATAGTTTTGTATGGTTCATATTCAGAGATCTGATTCAGAATGACCTGCAATGGTAAAACATCCGAAAATTCAATGGGCATGTCCAAATACCAAGAGTTGCATTTGGGGTGGCAGCAGACAGTGTTAAATGGTTGCCTCGTTCATTCATGAAGTTCTCACTGTAATTTTCTTAAGGCAGGAAAACTTGCTGTTGATAGAGGCTGGGCAATCAATGTGGGTAAGTACAAATGTGGTGCATTAAATGATACTTGAAATAGTGTGTTTAAGATTGTATTACTTTCATTTAGCATGATGTGTATTCTGTTTATAATAACAGAAAGTGACTGGATTGTGTCTGACTAAAATCAGCTCTAAAGGAAAAAAAAATGGAAAAAGTAAAGGATTTGTTTTCTTATCCACTATCCCCCGCATTGCAGTTTTATAATTAAATACTTTTTGAATGAAAAAAAGATAACTGGATAAACATATGATATCATATATAAGGAAAAAGGTGTTTGGACTGAAGTAGTGCGAAAAAAAATCAGGAAAAATGTTTAGAGTAAATGTAAATATTTCAATAAAATCTTTGTTTTCATTAAATTATAAAATAATTTTCATAGATCTTGTCATCAGCTAATTTATATATTATACCAGATCAAGGTGTTGGTTGATATGCTGGAGAGCAGGGCTGTACCCGTTAGTGTCTATTTTTGGCTGTGCAGTTTTTCCTGAAAGACTTGAATGAACGAATTACAAATACAGTGAATACAAATCTGCTCTCCTGCTCATAGCAAATAGCAATGCAAAACCAGTAAATCATTGAAGCAATGTTTTGTGTCGTGTAAGACTTAGCTTGTCTTTTTCATAGAGCTCATAAATTCTGGGATTTTTCCATTATTTCTTACACACATCTTCTGCAAAGTGACTATCCAATATTAAAAATTAAATAGACATTAAAAACAAATCCAAAAGCCTGTCATATTTAGTTATGTATAAAGTGAGCTTGTTACGTTTCTTGCTTAGATATTTGTAGAGGGTTTCTCAGTAAAAAGTTCTGTTCTATTATATAAAAAATACGTTTTGGGAGGAGGAGGTCTAAGTACTTTTTTCAGGTAAAGAGTGTGTTTGTGTTTTAAAGAGGAGTTCTTGAAGTTTGTTCTGGTCTGAGTGTTTGCAGAATACAAAGGCATGTGCAAATAATAACATCATGGTTCTTAGTTTGGTATTTTTTTTGACCCGGTGTTCAGCATAGCAGAGAACTTTCCCCATGTCCTTTCCACCTGCCCCATAACGGTAATTGTGCAACTCCAACATGCCTGGGGGAGCTGAACTTTCAAAGCGGTATGCTGTGTCATGGAGGCACCATGTGTTACGTATGTACATTTCTCAGTTCTTAGGGTGGTTGCTAGATGAAAGGGACAGTTCCCTTTAATCTGGGCGTCTGCAGATCCTTTGCCTGGTGGTCTGGTAGGCCACGCATGGGATATGTACAGAAACCCTGCGAGGTGTTTTGTGTTGCTGCTAGGTAAGGGTTTAACAGCTGTAGGTGCGGTATTTGCTGAAGAAAAAAAGTGCCTGACATGTAAGTGATTTCTGTCTCTTTGCAAAGACCATCTATGTTCCTTAGTATCTAGCTTTTCACCTCTTCAACATTTTTATGTTTAGGGGGTGGTTTTCATCACTGTTCAAGTGACAAAGGTGGAGGATTTTGTGCATATGCTGATATCACACTGGCTGTAAAGGTAAGAAGTATTCTTAAACCAGTATTTTCTACTATTTGTGCAAATGGAAAAAAATCCACATAAATTCATAAGAACTAATTTACATCTTAATAAGAGAAAATAAAGCCATCTATAGGTGGGTAGGCATGTAAAAATGGTGTGGTACTTGATGCTGCAGAACATAATGCATATCCAGTATTGTTAAGTGGAAGAGAGGAGTTGCAGAGGTCAGAATCATAGAATCGTTTAGTTTGGAAAAGACCTTTAAGAACATCAAGTCCATGATCTTAAAGGTCTTTTCCAACCTAAACGATTCTATGATAACTAGAGCTTTTGTAACTAAATATATTAGAATCACTTAGCTGTTTATTTGGTGAATGAAATGAATGGACACGCACTACATTCAAATCAGAACAGTAATACACTGTTCAAGCCTCAATCCTCCAGTTTAATCTGTCACCTAACTTCATAACTTTCTCCATCTTTTTCTTTGCTTATGTATCCAGTTCTTATTTGAAAGAGTACAAGGGGTGTCTAAAGCCACAATTATTGATCTGGATGCTCATCAGGTGAGTGGTTTACCTGTATTCAGTGTCGCAGATGTTTTGCTCGAAATACAAGTGCACGATAAATACCATTTTTTCTATTAGTAGTATAAACTGTCAACTCACAGAATACAAAGGTAATCATGATAGAAACTGAACAATTTAGTTGTTTAATTATGTTATGGTCCAAAAGGCTGTTAAGCCAGCTTAATAAAATTAAACTGAGTTGTAGCTCCATCATGTGGCTAGATTTAAAAATATTTTTGAGTTGCATATTGATCTGAGGCATAACAGTCTCCAGAGTAGATTAGTATCCCAGAAGAAACAAGAATCTCTTAAAACAGAATTACAGTTAGTTCAGCATGTGTGATCATTGCAGCAACCTTTGCAGGGGATGAATTTGACCTTCAATGTTTTAATGGAAGGCCTGGCTTCAAGCTAATGAAGTAAAGAATACATCACTCTTCACCTGGTAAAGTGATTTACTGTGAGAACTGAGAACAAATCTCATATTTGGTAGGATTCCCAAAATCCTGAAAGGAGGGAAGTAGTATTTTTAGAAAAGCAGCTAATGTACCAAAATTATGTCCAATCTGAAGCGTTGAAGATAATTTATTATGTGTAAATAAACCATTTTTAAGTAGCTCCATCGCAGTGAGGAAGCCTAATGGCTGCAAGTTTTCCATCTTCCATCATTTCTCTTATCTGCAAGTTAAGGCATCCTAAAATTACCATGAAATAAGGACATAGATCTTGCATAGAAAGATGTTTTGTGTTCATGATTCTCTTCAGCCATCTCTGTCAGAGTATGAATTTTTTTGTGCTTTTTTTGAGTGTTTTTTGTTTTGTTTTTTTAAAAACTTCTTGGAATGTATTTTGTTTTCAGCTATCATGCTGGTAATCTCAGTCTGCATACTAAATCACCCCTTTGTTTCCTTTCTTTGGGGAATGAGAGGTGTGTGAAGTAGTAGCTCAGCAGATCCTTTTTAAGTATGCAGATATTCTCATCTTGTAAGTGTTCCAATTCTTGGTGCATTGGCGAGTTTCACCTTTCATAAGAAAATGGTTCACCCAGAGGCTCTCATATTCTTAGATTTCTGTTGATGAACTGTTTATTTGTGGATCAAAGGAGCTGAAGAAATAGGTAGGAGTTGCCATTCTTTAGCATAAAGAAATGCAGTCCTGCTTCTTCCCATTCCCTTTTTCACACACATTGACTAGCTTTAGCCCAGTGATTCTTTCTTTTTTTTTTTGTTTTTGTTTGTTTGTTTCCAGGAGGGGAAGTTATAGCAGAAATACAGCTTAACTGTCCAGGGACATAAATTATGTAACTGAATTACAGAAGATATATCTGTGGAAATGTCTGTTTCTATAGTTTAAATGAAATTCTATTGGGGGTGGGGGCTGGGGTCCTGTATGATACACTGATTTCAGCAAAATTATCTTAGTGATTGCTGTGAAAAGATGATTTTTATACTAGTGGAAAAAAGTCTAAATGCGAGCCAAAAGAATTCAGAAATGGGAGAGGGGGAAATACTCAGAATCTGAGCTTTCTCTTAAGCATCCGTCTTTACACCCGATACAGTCTTTTTGTAGGGAATTCCTGGTGTTAAACAATATGTTAAACTGTTGGGTCTTCAGTGTCTGTAATTTTTCCAGGGATTACTTATCTCACCACGGCTTGAATTGTCAGAAGAGCTGTAGTCTGCTTTATTTCTTTATTTATTAATCCTTGTCTAAGAAATGAGTATCCCTGCAGCAGTTGAAAGTGACTTTTTTTTCCACAATTGGAAGATGAGAGATCTATTTGGTGGTCACAGTTGCTTTTGTGATACCGCTGAAGACAATTAGTTTCTAATTTTCGTTTATTTTTCTTACATGTGCAATGAGATCTATGATAATCGCCTTCACAGAGATATAAAGATGTTGATTTTGATAATACCTGCAGTCTTCAGACTGATACTGTCAAAGCCCCCAAAACTCTACACCTCAGAATAACCTTCAAGACTATAAATGAGAGAATGACACAGGAGTTTTAAATATAGTAGTCTTTGTAGTCTTTGTAGTCTTGATTACTCTAGAATTTGCAGATTATTTAATTGTGTTAGGAATAGCTAACTGTAAATTTCCTTCAGGGAAATGGCCATGAGAGGGACTTTATGGATGATCATCGGGTATATATTATGGATGCATACAATAGATATATTTATCCAGGGGATGGATTTGCTAAACGTAAGTATAATTGAAATTCATATTCCAAAATGTAAAAGACCTACTATGTTGTTAAATAACTTCTTCATTTACCAGTAAGCTTCCTTGCAACAACGTTAACTAGATTTTTTTCTTTTTTTTTTTTAATTTCACATTGAACATACGATTTTCAATGATCATTGTGATATATCACAATAGTGTTAACGCTGTAGTGTTTTCCCTCACTTCTGGAATGAATTTCAGGAATGCAAGGTGTGGGTATTAGTGGACTTTGTTAGCAGTCCATTCAACAGCTCATGCCACGCTTAGAACAGTGAGTTAAGCGATCCTTTTGATTTGAAGATAACTGTTAGAACTTAATCTTTCCCTTACAATAAATTTATAAAAGAATTCACTAGGGATTAACTAATACTGTGTGAAAAGGTTTCATGTTCCTTTGAAAGTTATAAATTATAACATATGTAGGTGTTGTCTTTCCAGGAGAACTTGTTTTATAAGCATCTAGAAAACAAGGTGCATCTGAATGTGAAACAAGTTGGGAAGCAAAAGGAAGTCATACAAATGTTAAGAGCTGGTGCTTGATTTTTGTTGTTGTTGTTGTTTCTTTATCCCTACTGTGATGTGCCTATTGTGTCTGATGACCTGTCACAATTAATTAGTGGGATTTTGATAATGGTTAAATTGGAATGCAAAAGCCCTAAGTTTATTTGATGTTTGATTCTGTTACACTGCCATTTATTACAGGCTAATTTGTTAACTGAATCATAGTTTATTGGGGGAGATGTTCTTCTGCTGTTGAATTTCTTCAATGATGCTGTCATTCTGAAAACCTACTTAACTTGGCAATGCATTGTGCTTCTGTTTTTTAACTAGTAAAGATTTTGAAAATTGTAGTATATGTATTTCAAGGTATTAAACTAAAAAATGACCATTTAAAGCACATCGTGTCTGTAAGCAGACAAATTGCAAGCAAATGAAGATTTTTTTTTTTTCTAAGAAAAGCATCCCTTTATTCATACATCGAATAGCAACATTTTGAACAGACGGATTAAGACCAAAACAGACTAAGCCCTTGTTAGCAAATCTGAAATACTGAACTCTCCTGTGAAGCTGGGAATACTAGCATTCCCTTCCTACACATGAAGCGTGAGGTTGCGGAAGGCTGCAGCCAAAAGCATGTGAATATATAGTTCCCTGTAGTTTGCATAAGGGTGTCTAAATTAGGAGTTCAGTGTCTAAATCCTTTAAACTCTCTCCTGCTAGGTGACCAGACGAAGATGAGGTCAGAGAGGGCATCTTTTTGAAGGGAGGTAGAGGCTTGAACCTGAGAGTTTGAATCCTTAGGGTAAACTCTTAACTGATCACTGTCTCCCTGGACTTCGTACTCATTTTTTCCACGTTTTATTACAGGAGTCTCTTCTGTACATTTTTTTTTTGCCCCATGCACTTCATTAGGAAGAAAAAAAAAAAGACTAGCTAACATTGTTTAATGCTTAGCCATAAGTATATTGAGTCCCTAAGGGGAAGTAGTTTGGAATTACACAGAGGTTTAGGAAGAGAAAGAAGATGGATGGGGAAAAGGACTAGTTCACTGAAGGGTGAGCATAAAAAGTTGACAGCTGAAACTCAAAGTTCAGGCCTTAAAAAAGCATTGCTGTTGGTCTGAGTGTCATTTTACAGTTTTCAAAGCTGTAGAAGTACATTCACTAGTTAGCAAAAGATGGACAAAAGGCAAATAAATGCAAAAGTTGTGTTCATTCTAACCTACAGATCTATTACTGTGTCCATCATCTGGGTAGTCCCTGATCTGGGTAATAACTAATCACTAATTCTGTGTTTTGTGGTTGAGATGAAGACAAGAGACCTGCAGAGGCATGGGATCTTGTTCATGATAGTCTCAACTTCTTAATGGTTTCATCAGAACAATACTTATTTGTCCCCCATGCTCATGTGTTTACCTCCTCCTCTAAAGCTCTATCCAGCTAGCAGATTCTTTACCCTGAAGAGGCTCTAAGTGCTGTTCAGAAGAGCACAGCTGTGCAGACTTACATGAACATTTATATAACACTAAGAAAAGAATTCAGGAAAAATATCAAGAAACAAAAATCTTTGAAACTAATGTTGATGCAATAAAATAAAAGAAAGAAAAAGAATGCTTCACTAATGTTGAACAAGGATGGAAGGCAGGAAAAACCACCTGCGCAGCAATCATGAGAATAAATATCATTCTGTGTTGAATGCATTCATGTACACTTGATGGATGCTGAATCCACACTTACGATTTAAGACTCCAAGTCATTTAATTCAAGGCGCTAGGGTATGGTGAGGTGGAAGTCATACCTTGAAACACCTCTGACATAGATTTGATTAATTCAGATTTAGAGTTACGCATAACTCCATAAAAGCACCCAAAGCTAGGCTGCATAACCTTGGGTTTCTTTTCTCTACCTTCTCAACCCTCCTCTTCTACTTCTAATGCTTTTTTAGAAGCATTAGAAAAGAATTGATTTAAATTAAGAATAGATATTTGCTCTTCTGGTGGGATTACAGGGTAAGAACGTTAAATTGAAAATGCTTGGGGCAAAGCTGAATCTTGTTAGACATTCATAAAGCAGTTCACATAGATACATGATCCCTTGCTGTTAAGTTTTGAGTGTTGTGATAAAAATAAAACATCTTAATTTCTCAGTGATATTTATCTTGTGTTTTCCCCCAACTGTTTCCTCTGCAATAGCAATTCAGTGTTTTCTTTCCCTTACGCTTTATTTAGGTTACTTTTAAGTTAATAATTTTCTTTATGATTTCTTTGCTGATTTGTAGATGGACATGTAGATCAGCTGCTTTTCAATAACATTTTCCACTTGTGTCTGAGATATATTTCTTTTTTCCCCCCTGCATCTAATTTTCTCTCTTAAGTGGAATTTTTTTCAAGGTCATTGTGCTTACACTTGCTGGGAAAACAAGTAGTTGAATAATTTTCTTTAATTCAAGGTTCTGTGAAAAGGCAATGTATTTACAAAATTTCTAGAAATGTTATCATTTTCTCTTGCTTACCTAAATCTTGCATTTTCTTTCAAAGCAATGCTTTGTTTATTGAGTAACATCAAAACATTTTATTTTTTTGTAGGTGCCATAAAACGCAAGGTGGAATTAGAGTGGGGTACAGAGGACACAGAATATCTTCAGAAGGTACATACTCACGTGGAAGGAGCATTAAATGAATTAAAACCTGACATCATTGTTTATAATGCTGGGACTGATATTCTGGATGGCGATCCATTGGGAGGACTTGCTATTTCGCCTCAGGTTTGTATAATACTAAAATACCTACAGACTTTTGCTCCTCACTAGATACTGAAGGCAGTCCTAAGAGTGACTTGTGGCTGTTTGTTAAGTGAAGGGAAGGTGCATACTTTACACTAAACCAGAGCATTTTCCTATTGTAGTTACATATAGATACATCTCCATTGCTCTTTCACCATATATTTTTGTTGTCTCTTCCTGACTAAATATTTTTGTTCTTCAGATGCCTGTTCCAGGCTGTTACACTTCACCTGACTCCTATTTTTCCTGTTTGGTTTGTTCGTTCTTTGTTTCTTTTAGCCTCACATAACCCATTCTGCAATGTATTTCTTTTATCACCTGCCCCCAGTATGTATCTTACACTTAATTTCCTCTATAGTGCTCCCAGCTGTTTTAAACTGCTCTTCTGGAATCTTCCAGTTCTAGGAATTTTGTGCAGCCTGTCTGTGTATTCTTAGCAAATGAGCAGATTTTTTTTCCCTTTCCTTATTCTTTTCTATACAAATATTATTACTCTTTTTCAGTTCAGTTTACCTTCTCTCTCCCCAGTTTGGTACCAGATTTAAACTTTGATTTATTCTGTATAGCTTCATAGAAATCTTCACCTTCCAGATACAAGTCTGCTTTTCTCAAAATAAACATTTACAGATCTCATATTTCCTCCTTTTTTTTTTATGATTCCTTCTCTGACAGCTCCTCGGTTCTCTCTCTTGTTTTCACATTTGGTTCTCTTTTAATGTCTACCAGTTCGATATAGAAAAGTCCTTTCTTGATTTGTGAGCTCTTAGATTCCCTTCTAATCAAGCCATCACTTGATCTGTTCAGTTTTCATTCTGTTTTGCAGTACTTTAGTTCTCAAATGCTTCCTTTTGCACAGAGCTCTAGTTCCTTGCTGGGTTTTATTGGCTTCCTTATATATTTCCTCATTCTTATCATCTCTGTCACTGAGCAGCCGCTTTGTTGCTTTCTGACTGCCTGCAAAGTCCTCAACGGACCCAAGGTGGATCAACTTGGGAGCCACTCTGACTCTCCAGGTTTTGTTTCCATGGCTGTGTAAACGTCTCTAAGGAGAAAGGAAGAGCTGAGGGACTTGGACTTATTTGGTTTTGACCTTGGAGAGGATATGACCTGGAGTGTAAGATCTCATTTGGTGGAGCAGAGCTTTTTGGAAAGCAGTGGCCACCAAGAGAAATGGAAGCTAGTGATAGACGGAGAATACTTTAAGATGTGCCTTTTCAAATTTTTTTCTGCCATTTGAGAAGGACCAGTGTTAATTGGCAAGAAAAATTAATTGTAGTTTGTTGGGTGCTGTGTAGGAGTGGAGATGGGGAAAGAAAGGTGAAATGATTCTTCTGGTCACAAGTAGAGATGAAAGGCAGAGTGCCATTTCTCTGCATAGGCAGTGGCTCAGGTGCCTGATGGAGAAAAGGTTTCTGTAGCTCAAGCCTTTGTTTTCTGAATTGAGGGCAAAGTTTCTTGTCTCTCTGATCTTGTTGGCTTAGGTGTGAATGGCATGTTTCACCAAGCTTGAAATCCCAGGCTACTGCAAATGCTGAAACTGAAGGCATTGAACCTGGATAATTCATCTCTTCAAGGTTCATTAGTCCAGTCTTCAGTCCAACAGTTGTAGATGTCATCCCTATTTTAAAATCTTGCTACAGCATTAATTCTGCTCAAAATTATGCCTCCTTAGAGGGCTATGAGTGATAGTTTCTTGGTGCTTGAAGCTGTAGCCAGAAAACTTGAGGTGTAGCAGGTAAGTCCCTCTTATCTTTGTTTGTAAGTGGAAACTGTACCAGGCTGTCATTTCCATTTGACGTATTTTCTTTCTTGGTAACACGCAAATGCTGGAATTAGCCCCTGTGTTTTCCCTCAGTTCTTCCAGGCTCAGCCACTGGAGATGCTGGAGCAGGGATGAGGCGGTTAGGCTCCTATGAGTAGTGACTGCTTCCAATTCTTGTGTGGTATAATGTTTGCTGCATCCAGCAATAGTTCCCAGGGGACGTACAGCTCATACTGTAATTCTGTTATTTCCTTTAAGGATCTGTTCCTAATATAATTCTCAAGTTTCCTTTGTCTTATTTTTCAGTTATTCCTTACTCCCATTGTTCTTTCACAGAGCTGTGTCAAACTATACAAAAACCATTACTGTTGTATGGTTTTACAAAATGTTTTTTCAGCTACATTTGAATTTTATTCTTTCCCTTTACCATTTGTTTGTGGTCTAATTTTTTTTAATGGCAGGGTAATATTTCTTTATATACTTACAGTCTTCCTCTAACCAGTCTGAGTAGTGCATGTTCATTTTGTTGTAACACTTTAGCTGCTGCTTCCTTAATTTTTTGTATTTGGTTGCATTTTAGTCCCTTTCCCCTTCTCCAACTTTTGCAGTTATTTAAATTTTGAGCTGTCCATTGTAAGCTGTTGTCTATTACGTTGTTAGTTTTTTTTTTTTTTTTTTGAGAAGTTGTAATGGATTATTTATGCCTCCTATGTATCTCTGGAACTCTCTGCTTTTACTTTTTCCACAAAAGTAGATTTTAATTCTGTTCTCACTTATTTCTGAATTCTCTCTTTTTCCCCCACATGTACATATTTGAGACTCAAAGTCCTCTGTTGTATGGGTTCAATGACAGTACAGTACCTCTTGGTCAGCAATCTTTGTTATTTTTCAGTTTCCATACCCTTCTCTATTGGTAAGAGATTATTTAGAATTTCTTTTCCTTTCTGTGGATTTACCATTACTTACATTCTGCAATTCCCCCTTCAGCCATAGATTCTTCTAGTATTAGCTTTTATTAAAGAAACTGGAAGCTTATAATTCCGCTAGTAATTGCGAACATGTAAAATCTGATTTGAAATTTTGGTTCTTCTGTAGATTTGTGAAATCTTGATCAAGTTGCTAAACTTCTGTCAGAGGGTGCTGTGCAAGTTGAGCACAAACTAAAGCACTTTGAATTCAGACAATCTTTCTTAGTCTCAATTCCTCACCTGTAAAATAGGGTGAACATTTCTAAACTTTGTGGTCAGTTTAGACTTTAAGGCCTTTGAGCAGGAATTCTTCTAGGAATTTATACTAAAAACTTTTATCTGTTGTGTCCTCTAAAATCAAGTCAAGGATTTTTGATTTGCTGTTTTTCCTTTTTTTTTATTTTTAAATGATTATGCATGTAAACCTGCTAACAGGACTTCTAAATCAATTTTTTATTCGTATTGTAAAATGTAAGTCTTAATCACTTATCAAGCATCCAATACTATATACCCATAAACCATAGGCTAGAACTAAAATATCATATTTGTATCACTTTTTTTTTTTGTAACTGTTGTAAACTTGCAGGGAATTGTGAAGAGAGATGAAGTCGTGTTCAAGGCTGCCAGAAGCCGCAGAATCCCAATCCTGATGGTAACGTCTGGAGGCTACCAGAAAAGGACAGCGCGGATTATTGCTGATTCCATCCTCAATTTGCACAACCTGGGGCTTATTGACAAGGAGTTAGCAACCAGTGGAGCTGAAAATCCCAAGGTAGAACAGATGATTAGAGACTCTGCTAAAGACTTAACCAACTTGTCACTGCAATGACAAGTTACTAAATTTTAGGAAACAACTTCCTAGTTTAGGAGCAGGAAGTCTCCACATCATTATCAGGGTTAATATATTTTTAAAAACTCAACCTGCCTGTAAAATAACACAGTAGAGATAATATGCCACACAGAATAACTGTGTCTAACTTCTGAAGCTATTTTGAGCAAAGGCAACAAATCCTTGTAAGCTAATTGAGACATACACTCAAGGGTACTGTCTTTCAGTTTATAATATTGCTGTAGAAAGCTTTAATTGCTTCTCTTATTGTTATGGGTAGTCTATTATGTTGAAAGCACTATGCAGTTGGTATCCAAAGACTGTCCCAGACCTATTTCAGACGATGCAGTTCGGACTGTGGTGGGAGAAATATGGACTAAACCTACTGGCATTTTTTTTTTTTTAGAGATTGCATTTTATTTATTGCTTTTTTAATTGAAATATTGTTATAAAACGAGTTCTGCGCAGGCTTCAACTGTCGGTTTAATACTAAAGTTAAGTGCAATACTATAAAAAAACAGTTCAGTTGGTAGGCTTTTGAGCCATAGCCTATTAGAACAAAAGTTCATTAATTTATATTTTATTCCTGTGGTTGATAGTGACTTAAATCCTATCTATAAACACCTTGAGAAATAAAATATGAAATGCCTTTGGCTCCATATGCAAATGAGCCATAAGGGCTCAGCATTAACAGTCTAGTTTTTGCCTCTCTTAAAATGAGGCCTGCATAAAAAAGGCAATAGTTACTATGCATCGTAAATCAGAGTAAAGAAACTACAATAAAATGAAAACTAATTTTAGAGTTCTGAGAATTCTTGCAGAAAATATTATGTAGAAATATAGGTTATCTTTTATTATTGTCAGCATGTCATGTATAAAACAGTGAAGAGTAAATTTTGATTATTTTTTTTCCCAACTAGTGCTGTGTTTTTCACTTGCTCAAAGAGTAATGGTACTCATAGTTGCAGTCATAGTAGATAACCAAATTGTTCATATTACAGGTAAAAATACAGTGAAATTTCTACATTAAGTTAATGTGTGAACTTTATGTAGGAGCTTCTAGGAGGATTTGGGAACAAAATAGTGTATTCAAAAGCAAATTCGGTACACTAAGTGTAAAGTTCGGTTTTATTTAAGTGGGTATATTTTGCATTAGGTACTGTTTGTAGCATTGGATTGTAAACATACTAAACTGTATATTTTGCAAGAGCTTTTTTAACTTCCAAGCGTTCACTGATTTGTAGTACAAGTTTCATGTCGTGTTTAGGTTTGAGCCTTTCTATGAAGGAACACCAATATTTTCCTTGTAATAGAATTGGTGTGTAGGCTATTTAAGGAATGTTTAATTCTAATTAGAATATACTTACCTCACTTATTGTTAATTTTTAGATTGATGGGGTTTGTTAATTGTAAGAATTGCACAATTGCTATAAATATCTGCTTTAAAACAGATTTGACATATTGCACTAATCCTGAGTTGCAACACTGTTATTAAAAAGCACTTTTAAATTTCTTACTAGAAGGACCATCAGAGTACAACTAATGTTGAGATTTATTTTTTCTATACTGTTTGATGTTACTGAAAGATGTTGTTATTCTTTCATATAATTTTTATAAAATTATAAATAACATTTCTATAAACTAAAACCCTGTCATAGTAGCATATGGTCTTTCCCAAAACACTTTCTGTTTGTGTTAACGTGTTTATATTCTTTTCCCTCGCTGGAGATTAAAATGATGTTGAACAATGCTGACTGACTTTTCTTTTCACTTCACATGTATCTTGGCTGTCAAAAACTTTGAACGGAACAGTTTATTGAAAAGACAAGAAGGTGTGTTTTTCATACTGAAAATGTAACTGAAACTGCAGTGAGTCTTAAGAGTGAATAGTACAAGGTTTGTCAACAGCGGATGACTTCTCTGAGGGTTAATGCATTGACCTCTTAAAGTAAGCTTGGAAGTTCTGTATCCAAATACTTTTTAAGATGTTGTCATAAGGGGTTAAAGTCACTTTCTAATTCCAAGTTACGTTCCATTACCTATATTGTAACTCCTATTTTAAGTATTTTATTGTTACACGTATTAAACTGTAAACTAAGCTTCTGTTAAGGCCGCAATAGTTTGTTAAAGGTCTTTTATAAATCAATATCTTTTCAGAGAGAATTAAATTTTGCTGAAGAGCCTGCTAGCTTTCAGACTCATCTGTAAAATTCGCAATTGTTAAGCAACGGACATATTGACTGCATTTTCAGTGTTCATTATAAAGTTAGAATTGCTAAACAGATAACTCCTCCTTCATTTTTTTCCAGAATTTTAATTTGGTGTAATATTTGACTTGGTTGTTAAAACCAAAAGATTAATTTCTACACATTAAGAAAGTAGTCCAAGATAAATGTGTACTGTTTTTTCAAAAAGAAGTGGTGAAACTGTTTCTAATTAGACCACAGATATTATATGATTCATAATTAAACTGTTATCATTAGGCAAAGTTCATTGAAAATTTCATCATGGAAACCTTGCCTTGACCTACCACCATCAGAATTTTTAGCTTTGAGAAAAACTTTTGTGGAACGCAAAGACCTATTTAAGTCTGCTAGGAGAATGCCATGTAGTCACAAATTTTATGGGGAAAAGCGTGGAGTTTTTGTTTTTTTAATTGCAGTTGTAACTGTAAAATCCACCCATAATAGGAAGGAGTGTTTCAGAACTGATGCCCTAGCTTACAACCAAAAAACTATCTTGCAGAAAGACCTAGTAGGTCTTGTCTTTCATAAGACAACATTAGTTTTGACTCAAATTACTTAAGAAAGGAATAGAGAGGATTGTTCAATAGCTTATAGTTAACGTACGAACGTGTATTTCTTGCTAGTCATCCATGTGTGAAATTTATTTTAAAAATAAACTATTTCATTTGACAGTTGGCACATCAAGCTCCAGCCCCCCTTGCCTCTCTGACAGTTGACACAAGTATAGAACTTGGCATTAAAAACACTGGGTGTTGTGGTCGTAGTCTTACACTGACTAAATTTTAGCTTTAAATGGTAATATCAACCTCTTCCACACTGAAGGTATGACCTTTTTGTTTGTTTGTTTTTTAACACCCTGCATTGTGAAGTCCCAGACTCGTATCATGAATACAAGCAAGAATTTGAGAAATGCTGTAGTCAGACAGCTGTGATTAAAAAAAAAAAAAAAAAAATTACGAAAATTAATTGGTAGACAGCTTATTCTGTGGGGGGCAGGTAGTGCTTATGTTTGGTGAATAATAAATGTCCATGCTCCCAGGTTCCCTTCTCCTTGCTGCTCCTCACAGCTTGAGGAACCTAATGACCCTGAAACCGTTCCCTGGTCCCTTCTGGTCCTGCTACCAGAGTAAATTGTTCAGCAGTGTTTCTGCCTCCTCTTGCACATACAACAAGGCACACAATTCTTTTCAGTGCTGGCCACATAAGTTTTTTTTGGTCTGTGAAGTGACACTTAGGAATTTCTTCTACTGTACAAATTGTGCTATACAATTGTGTCCTACATGCAACAGCCACTTTGGGGAGAACACTGTCTGACAAATCCAGAAGTTATGAAATTAGTAACCTTGGGTCTACGCTTTGCTCACACTGTGCTGCCAGGAGCTGAAGGAGCTTGCTGAGTTCAGAAAGCTGCCGGGTCTAGGAGCTTGGTGCTGTGTGCTATGCCAGTTTTTGAATAATTGAAAACATTCTTTCGAGAAAACTGCAGTCCCTTGGTGAAGAAGAAAATTCACTTGCTATCTTTGCCCAATGGAAGATGGTCTTCCTTATCCCCCCTGGTTGATTCTGAAATGCAGAGCATATCAGAATAACAAAGGGCCTAATCCCAAGTGATGCTGTGTCCTGAATTTGCCTTGAATTTAGCACGGGTTGTGTATTCCCCAGCCATTCTAGAGGCAAGCTTGCAAATTGTTCAGTATGTACCAGCTTTTAGCTTAGATTTTAAATAGGGGTGACTTTCAGGTTTTTAGTCTTTCCTTGATCCTGGCACTTTTGGTAATCTCTTAGACTTCCCATCCAGTGCTCATTTATTTTCCTTTCTTTATCTTATCCTTTATGCAGGCCATTTTGGTACAGCCAGTTGCTTTTTATCACAGGTCAATAGAATTAACTTCTTCTAAAAAGAGACGATGTTTTGGTAAGCTATATGAAGGACTAACTCCTATTACTAGGCCTGATTCTCTCCCAGGCTTACTGTGGCAGTGAGAACAGGAGGTTTGTTTTGCTCAGTGCCTGACTCAGTGCAAGTACAGCACTGACCTGGTCCTTGGAACAAAGCGAGTAACTCCTGCCCTACTTCCTTACAGCCTTCTGAATGTGCAACAGTGCTACGTGCTGCACATAGCACTGACTTCCTGAAACTAAATTCAGAGTATTGTGGTAAGACAAAAATGCCGTTTTGATTGAAAAGATTGAATAGGCATAGGAAATTATTGTGGTGGGGCTGTGGTTCTGACTTACCAGCCTGGTGCAGTTCTGACCTCCCTCCCTACAGCTTACCTGAGATTAAACTTCTGGTTGGAGATGAATTAAGTATAAAAATTATGAAAAGACTACCAGTAATGTTAGGCATATCTTGTGTAACCAGTCCTGCAGTATTGTATTTTGCCAGTGCAGTGGTATGTGGAGCTGTGGCACACTTCCATAAATCATTTCTTCCTTCAAAAGTAACATTACAGATAATTAGTTAAACTATTTGTTGTCAGATATAAGGCTAGCTATATATTTCACTAATAAGATCCAAACTCTTGTTTTATTTTGCAGTTGAGAGTAGACAGCCTTCGAGCTTGACTGGAACTGATTATCTTTATTCTGGAAATGTATGTTTAATTTGTGTGGGAGAAAAAAAAAGTATTCAAGGCCGACCTAAAATAATGCATCTTGACTTTATAGTGTCTTAAATTTAGTCCTTAGTAGACTTATAACAGATTGCAATGCTTTGTAAGAGCAAAGAGATGTCTCCTTTCTTTCACTTTTGACATCTAAGAAGGATTGTAATTAATCCTGTTAGCCAAAAGCTTGTCATTTGTTCTGTGATTTTTTTGCCATTGTTTTTGCTACAGGTACAGAAGAGGGC